GTGTAGAGGGCTATTATGAAATTGTTCAATGATTTAAAACGAACTCTTCAATTATCCACAGTCATCGGCTCTGAATTCAGCAAAGTGTGGCTAGTTCAGTTTCAAGAATGGAGGAAGGGAGTCTTTATCCAGTCTCTCCCCCCTCATATCCACCTGCTTGGACCTGAGAAAGGCTTCGCTCAGAATTCGATGGTAGACGTCTAAACTGCTCAAACCGGCCCTCTCTTTTGACATTCTTGCTTCCTCTATTTTTTGGTTTTCGTTTCTTTCATTTTTTCCAAGTATTTTTTTCTCTTCAATGAGTTTTGGTAGGGCATGTAAGGTCATTTTTCCATTATGATCAATTCATGCTTCTAATCCTCCTGATTCCCTTGTTTTATGGAATTACCTCCCTTTTGTGAGCTGAAGCTTCTGGTAAAAACCACATGTGGGGAAACTGAGAGGCAGTTAAACAGCCCTAGTCGACTTAAAAGTTCGAAATAAAGCAATTTGTCGACTGTGAACTGCAGAAAGAACTGTGGTTACTCAATATCCCGAAATCCTATAGAAGAGTACTCCTATAGAAGAGTACTGTAATGGTAATGTGTAATAGTATTTTCATGTGACTGTTCGCCGTCGCGCGGATGAAGTGGGAAGCCAGAGGGAGGCTCGCGTTGGCGTCGTGCAGAAGCTAGGGCACCGCGCGCATTCTAAAAACATGGGCGTCCTGACATACACTCTGGAATATTGGGTGGTTCCGTATAACGGTCCTACTCACGTATTCAACACAAATCTCTCTTTACAACCTAGAACTGGATATCTACTTTTTCCATTGTATCCTTTGAAGCTGACCATCAGTTCCAGCTAATGTTGAAGAGAACAAGTTTGGAGCTTACGAAAGTCCGTTCTAAAGCAGCCCTTTGAGGAATGCCGCGAAAGGCGCTCACCGCCATTTGAATTGCATTAACGAAAAGTTCTTTAACAATCCCCATTCAAGAATCCCCTTCATTTAAATTGTCCCTATCTCGCTACAAATTTTCATGAATGACCAAAACTATTGGGTTGTCCCTAAAGTCTTTGCCCATTTCCATGTGTATGTTGCCGAATCTTCAGGGATAATTTTTGACCATCCATTGTAAAACAGATGTAAACCTTAGCCAATGGTCTCTTCACAGCATTCCTGCCGTGGTATTTCGCAGCGATTATGGCTGAGAAAATCGACTTTGACTGAAAGCATATTTGGCTCCTCTTGATTCTAAAACCCAGAAAACGCGTCAGTGGAAGTGATGCGGCAGGAGCCCTATGCCTTGCGATGGACCCCAGAGTGTCTTTCACGACATGGCAAACATCTGGTTGCCGATGGCCGGAAAATCGAGGAAAAAGCCCAAAGTCGGTCGGCTTTTTACCCTGAGTGATGAGTGTCTTCTGACAATGAGTTGTATCGAGACAGTCTCTTGTGCAATGCACTCTAACTCACACAACTTTTCCACAATTTTTCCACAGAACACAATAGCCATTGCTCAACATTATCTCAAAAAGAAGAGAAATTATGGCAGAAGGAGATTTCGTGATCTGGGTGACAACCACCTTCGGGAGCCTTCAGATTTTGCATGAACATTTCGATTTACCGGCTACATTTTGTTTGACCCGACTACTTTTTTGGTGGTAGCAAGGAGTGGGTTCCTCAAGTAAGCTACACCCGCCAGCCCCACTGGCTCAGACGCGTAGAACCAGAGATGCCGACGTCTCTTCTAGAACTGCAACTTGAGAGGTAACTTTCGGAGTTGGTACAGCTGCAAGCGATTCGTTCACTGATAGCTCTTACCAACGGACTGCATTGGTGAATGATAATATGGGGAAACTAATGGCTCCACCGGTGCTATGCATGGAAAACGCTGCAAAGTTCACTTCATCCAAGCAACGACCGTCAAGGAGTTTTGAAGATGGTCAAGCAAAAGTTTCCAAGCCCCTTATGAGATGTTCTGTCTGGCCAGTTGTGCTCAGCATGTCTGGCTCCAACGAAATACCGTCTGCTCCTGTTGCTGCTGATTCAACGAAAAAATGGAGAGCTTCATAATCCAGAGTTCTCGAAAACGGACTTCTTCCAGTTTTTTGCCTCGAAAGCTCGGGACATCTCGGCAAACGGCATTCACGAGTCATCTGCTGAAAGGCAAC